GTCAAGCTTGCAAAAATCTATCATTTGCCCGATAATAAATGTTGGAAATGTAAAGAAACTGAAGGTACATTCTTTCACCTTTGGTGGACGTGCCCAAGGATTAAGGCTTTCTGGGAGATGATCTATAATGAATTGAAAAAGGTATTTAAATATGCCTTCTTGAAGAAACCAGAGGCCTTTCTCCTGGGCATAGTCGGCCAATTGGTGCCAAAGAAGGATAGAACTTTTTTCATGTATGCAACAACAGCAGCAAGAATACTCATCACGAAATATTGGAAGACACAAGACCTACCCACTCTGGAAGAATGGCAGATGAAGGTGATGGACTATATGGAACTGGCGGAAATGACTGGCAGAATCCGAGACCAGGGAGAAGAGTCGGTGGAAGAAGATTGGAAGAAATTTAAAGACTATCTACAGAAATATTGTAAAATTAATGAATGTTAGAATGATGTTGGATAGAAATTAAGTGGTTTTCAGCTGTAATACTATAAGGGAATATGAAAAATGGATTATTAATAGGTAAAAATTTAACGTTACAATATTTTAAGATTAAAGACTAGGATAAACAAAGAGGGTAAGGATTTGCTGAACCAACAAACCGAACTGGAATACAAAAAAGGGAGGCGTGAGGAGGTCCGGGAAACAAGCTAATGAAAAATAAGTAATGGAAAGATTGAGTTGTTTTTAACCATTCTTATTTTGTATTTTTTTTGTTTGTAATATTTTGAAAATTTTAATAAATATCTTATATATATATAAAAGGAATCTATCACATGGATCAAGTTCATATATTTTAATTCTAAAGTCTATATTTCAGAGAACAGGACAAAATCAGACTCATTCAGATTTTGCAGAGACTGTTCTTTATTCCCCTTGTTGTTTACACTCCCAATTAGCAGAGGCAATCAGATGTAATGATATAACCCACAAAGTTACAACTAGTAGAGAGAGAAAAAAATTGATCTCTGCAATGACCATGTTGCATAATTTTCGGGGAAACCCTTGGAGATGTCATGATTCTGCTTGATTAATTTAGCAGGATGTTGGGATATAAAATTAACATAACAAACTCAAAAAGTATGGTATTGAATGTTGACGGAAGACCAGACCAGATGGCAGTAGCACGTAGACCTCATTAAAGGAAGCCAGTTACTCTGTGTTATGTAGATGTTCATAAACAAGAGGGTGGGCCATGCGCTGTGACCCTTCAAATATTGCGGTAAGACAACATCAGCCCTAACCATTGGCCATGCTAGCTGCTGGGAGTTGTAATCAAACAAAATCTGGAGGGCACCATGTTGATGACCCCTGTTTGGACTGGTAAAGGCCAGTCCAAACCCAACTTTCCCTTTGCTAGCCATTTATGAGAAGTTTCCCAGAGTGACTGAGGCAACCCAGTCAGATGGGCAGGGTACAGATAATAAACTATGATTATTATTATATCCTTGAGTTTGCACACACTTTGTTTTTCTCCAGCCATACAGTTGTGCATTGAGTCAGAGGGAGGATGTTTCAAGGCGCTTGTTTATTCCCCCTATAATTACCAAAGTCATTGTCATTTATTCTTGTTCTTGCCAAAGCACAAAGGGCCCTTAACCTCCCACAATGCTCATCATTGAGCCTAGCAATATAAACATCACAATCAAGAGCAACAGTAAGTAGTTTTCATGTCTATGTGTCAAATACTCCGATGCCCCTGAGAGCATGGCAATGTTTGAAGGGGAGGAGACTCTTTCAGTGATATTTTCCATCATGTACTTTAGATCCGAAGGCCCAGCTGGACTCCAACTAGCTGAACGAGCATCCCCAATAAAGTTCTGACTTTTAGGTCTCTACACACCAAAATAAACTTTGGACTACCCTATTTAATATATATTTATGACTATCTGAATAATTTTAACACAACATATTTTCTAATCAAATCCACGGTGTTTTTGTAACTTAAAAAAAAAAGCCATGTTGGGGACTTCCTGAACACCTAATCCAAGTAGGATCACATACAATGTGATAAAACAAAAGCATGTGCACAGATTATTCTGTCAACCTACAGCAGAAATTCCTAATATAAAGGTCACAATTGTGGTTCGATGTGCTTGGATTGCATCCAAGTAGGAAATGGGTTTTCACCTTGCAATGAGGATATGCCTTTTCTCCCTCAACACAAGCCCAGAGGCCTATATCTGGGGATCAAATAATACATGACCTCAGTCCAGTTTCCACCTCCATCATTCAGCCTGGACACTGAGGTCCAGCTCCAATGACTTTCTGGCAGCCGCTAGGCTGTTGACTGGGAGCTGCCGCCAAGACAATATAATACTGGTCCTGAAAGACCTACATTGGCTCCAAGCACAATTCAATGTGTTGGTGCTGACCTTTAAAGCCCTAAACAGCCCTGGCTCAGTATACCTGAAGGAGAGTCTCCACCTCCATCATTCAGCCCGGACACTGAGGTCCAGCTCCAAGAACCTTCTGGCAGTTCCCTCCCTGTGGGAAGTGAGGTTACAGGGATCCAGGCAGAGGGCCTTCTGGGCGGTAGCACCCTCCCTGTGGAACACCCTCCCTTCAGATGTCAAGGACATAAATAACTACACAACTTTTAGAAGACATTTGGGGGATGGGATTTCTGTCCCACATATTTACAGCCGTCTTCCCCGGACTTTCTGAGATCCTTTCGATTGCCTATGTGGAAGATTCAGCCTAGGGTCTTCTGCAGGGAATGTAGAATCCACATGGGAGGGAGAACCATGAAGGTGTTTGGAGTGTGAAAAAAGCTTAAGCTCAAGCCTTCCTTCAGATTGAAGAATACACACAGGGAAGAGAAAATAATACAAATGGCAGCTAATCCTCACTGTCCTTTAGTAAGGCAATAAGCTTATGAAATACAGCAAAGAGCTGAGTAATGTATAAACCTTTGCTGTAAAAAATTGCTAAAGATGCTGTCTGCCATTCGAGTTACTTGTCAAAGAGTATTTTGGGAAAGCGAGAGGCACAGGAAAAGATTCCTGGAATAATAAAGAGCTTGGAGCATGTGAGGACAGACTGATGCATTTTTGGTTTTTCAGTAGAGAGAAACCACTGAGCCTAGGGTTTGCCAATTGGAAGGTTGGCGGGTCAAATCCCTGTGATGGGGTGAGCTCCCATTGTTCGGTCCCAGCTCCTGCCAACCTAGCAGTTTGAAAGCACGCACTGCAATAGTTAAATAGGTACTGCTCTGGCGGGAAGGTAAACAACATTTCCGTGCACTGCTCTGGTTCGCCAGAAGCGGCTTAGTCATGCTGGCCACATGACCTGGAAGCTGTACGTTCGGCTCCCTCGGCCAGTAAAGCGAGATGAGCTCCGCAACTCCAGAGTCATCCGCGACTGGACTTAACTGTCAGGGGTCCTTTACCTTTACCTGAACTCCTTGGAGAAACACTAGAACTCAGCACCGCCTGCTGAAAACGATGGACGATGCTTTGAATACAAACCAAAAGAAGGACAAATAATTTCACACTCTATATGATGTATGGAAGTTTGAAAACAGTAATTATTGTGCTGTGGAAAAAGAAGCAAAATAGAAAGCCACAGGCTTTGGATCCCATCCAAATATGAATATGAATATTATTTATTTGTGTAGCTGAAGCCATTACAAGAAGCAAAAACTTAAAACACAATAAAATGCATTACAAAGTTAAAATAATTATTGAAACCAGGAATTCTGTCAGGGAATCCCCTGAAGAATCAAACTTACAAACACCACAAAATTTTCTCCTTAATATTGCCACTCTGAAGGCAAAACAGGCCGTTTTCCAGAGGTAGAGGGGGATCTGATCCCTAATAAAAAAATTAACACAAATATATCATATTTCACAGAATTGTGGAATGGATCCCATCCAGAAATGGTTTTTGTCCCAACAGGAAACTGTGGTTCTGGTTCAGATTCTGCAGTACGAAGTATTTATTAGGTCCGTATAGTAAAAGCCATGGTTTTCCCAGTAGTGATGTATGGAAGTGAAAGCTGGACCATAAAGAAGGCTGATCGCTGAAGAATTGATGCTTTTGAATTCTGGTGCTGGAGGAGACTCTTGAGAGTCCCATGGACTGCAAGAAGATCAAACCTCTCCATTCTTAAGGAAATCAGTCCTGAGTGCTCACTGGAAGGACAGATCCTGAAGCTGAGGCTCCAATACTTTGGCCACCTCATGAGAAGAGAAGGCTCCCTGGAAAAGACCCTGATGTTGGGAAAGATGGAGGGCACAAGGAGAAGGGGACGACAGAGGATGAGATGGTTGGATAGTGTTCTCAAAGCTACCAACATGAGTTTGACCAAACTGCAGGAGGCAGTGGAAGACAGAAGTGCCTGGCGTGCTCTGGTCCATGGGGTCACGAAGAGTCGGACACGACTAAACGACTAAACAACAACAACAACAAAATTTTAGTAAGTATTTTATTTACTACTAAGAAGTGGCACACAGCTCCTCCACCCAAACCTAGCCAATTTGGGGCATACCCCCCTGGATCTACCCCCAAATTAATCCCAATTAAATATATGGTTCAGAAGGTGACAGGGGAAGGAAATGCTCCATTTCACTCCCACACCTGAACAAGAGAGTTCAATTCTGCATGGGGCTGCTTCAAATTCTTTACAGTGGTACCTTGGTTCTCAAACTTAATCCATTCTGGAAGTCCGTTCCAAAACCAAAGCATTCCAAAACCAAGGCATGCTTTCCCATAGAAAGTAATGCAAAATGGATTAATTCGTTCCAGACTTTTAAAAACAACCCCTAAAACAGCAATTTAACATGAATTTTACTATCCAACAAGACCACTGATCCATAAAATGAAAGCAATAAACAATGTACTGTGGTCACACAATCAATCAATCAGTAGCTGAATTGGGTCCCACACAGTCGCAAATGAAAAAAAAAGTTCGCAAACCGGAACACTTACTTTGGGTTTGTAGTGTTTGGGTTCCAAGTTTTTTGAGTATCAACGTGTTTGAGAACCAATAGTTCCGCCCTATTACAGACCCGATGTTGTCTTTAGTGTTTTGCTGTCAGATGCTCCTTCGTGTTCAGATCAGGCCTCAGTATAATAATGTAGCATTTGGGAATGAAGATGCAGCCCAGAAGCCCAGCACTGGAGGCCAAGATGGAGAAGACCTGCACGGCTACCATGTATTTCCCCTTGGTGCTCAGGTAGGTGGGCACAAAGGACACCCAAACACTGCAGAAGACCAGCATGCTGAAGGTGATCAGCTTGGCTTCATTGAAGTTTCCAGGCAGCTTCCTGGCTACGAAAGCCACCATGAAGCAGATGGCAGCCAGGAAGCCCATGTAGCCAAGGGCAGTGTAAAACATGGCCACAGAGCCTTCATTGCATTGGACAATTATCTCTCCAAGCTGTGAGCTCATGTCAAATTCTGGGAATGGAGGAGAGATCCCCAGCCAGGTGCTGCATATGAGAACTTGGACACTGGAGCAGGAAATGACAATGGAGTGGGCCAAACTCTTCCCCAGCCATCTCCTCACCCTGTTCCCTGGTTTAGTGGCCAGGAAGGCCAGCACCACAGTGATGGTTTTTGCCAAGACAGAAGAGACAGCAACTGAGAAGATGACGCTGAAGGCTGTTTGTCGGAGAAGGCAAGACACTTTCCTCGGCCGTCCAATGAAGAGGAAAGAGGACAAAAATGAGAGAAGGAGGGAGATGAGGAGAATGTAGGAGAGGTCCCTGTTGTTGGCTTTGACTATTGGAGTTTCTAGGAATTCAATGAAGATTGCCAATACAAAGCCTGCAGCTAATGACAAGAAGAGGGCTAGGGAAGCCAAGAGGACCCCCCAATTCTCTTTGTAGTCTAGGAAGTTGATAATCTTGGGAATACATTGAACTTGGTCCTTGTTTGGATGCTGATCTTCTGAACATTTGGTGCAGTGCGTTGCATCTGAAAATGAGAAAAAGAGTGGCTTTAGTATTCCTTGCATCCATAACCACGTAGCTTCTAATACTTTTTTTTTTTTGGGGGGTGCTCTTTCTATTCCCCCAAGAAATGGCCTCTCCCTTGGAGTCACCCACCTTCCTGAGTGGAGATGGTCCCTTCCGCACACGGAGAACAAACATAGCAGCAAACCGGCTCCCCTTCTTGGATCACCTTGAAATATCCAGGGTGACAGCTTTCGGTGCACCTGGAGCAAGGCACAGTCTAAGCACAAAGAGAGGAAGGTGCATCAAGGGGACAATTTCTCTCTATGGATTTGGTTGATAGAGTCTGGAATGGACCCAGCAGCATCTCATGGACCACTAGCCCTGCCAGGACTTCTGGCACGTTCCCCAAAAACCTATTTGGTCTGTTTCCTTGCTTGTTTCATCATTCATTGTTCCTCTTTTCTGTCTCTAAACATGGTGTCACTGTCAAACCCAAATTTCCAGATTTCAAAATGGAATGTGGATATTCCATGTCCACTTCATGGATATGGGGCTCACGGTATGAGGGGGACACCCTTGTATGCCAGCTCCCACCCCTGCACTGGGCAAAGGACTGCAGTCCAAGTCCTGGGTGAATTATTCCACAAATTAATGTATATCAACAGAACCATACAGAAAAAGTTTTCCCCACCTGGTTAAACCTCTGGGGCCACAAAATAGCATCCGAGTTGATAGTGAACTTTGTGTCAATGGATGTCTCTCTCTCTATACTCCCAACTTTCACTCTGGCACGAGACTCGTTGGGAAACACCACCCAGTTCACAAGGTCATAGTTGCCTGGCAGCTCCCCATTCTCGTCTAAATGCATTCCACCCATGGAGGTATTAGAAAACTGGGTTGCTCTTAAGAAGGGGTGAAGCTGGAATGAAAGTTGCTGGGAGTCACAGGCAGGCAGAGTGCTTTTGTTATATGAATAGTGCCGAAGACGCCCTGGGTGGGTTACAGGGACCCCCAATGGGAACCACTGACCTAGATGATGATGATGATGATATTTGTACCCACCCATTTGATTGGGTTGCCCCACACACTCTGGGCATTAATGACCAGCTGGCCAAAGCTCTTAGAGCTCTTGGGGACAAGAGCGGTGAATGCAGAATCAACGCTTATGCCAGGGATAGGCAAACTCAGCCCTCCAGATGTTTTGGGACTACAGCTCCCATCACGCCTAGCTAACAGGACCAGTGGTCAGGGATGATGGGAATTGTAGTTCCAAAACATCTGGAGGGCCGAGTTTGTCTATGCCTGGCTTAGGCTAATGAACAAATGGGGTGATTTGTTACTGAATTTTTAGCAGCAATTTGAGAGCCAGTCATTCCATTGCGGTGTACATCTTAGTGGAAACAACATATTGGAGAAGAACAGAAATAGTCCCAATTGTGACAATTGCTGCCTCGTTACACCCCTGGTGCTAATTTCTGCACATGGACACAAAGTTAGAAAGTTCCTATTATTTAATATCTTTGCTTTCAATAAGCATTTCCAGTACGTGGAAAAGGTCCCTGCTATGGCTATACTTTTTTTCTTCTGTTTATCCTATACACGGTTGGTATTGTTTTGAAACTTTCAGCACTTTTAATAATTGCGTTCTGTTGATATATTATAAACCAACCAGTGTATATATACACACACACACACAGAGAGAGAGAGAGAGAGAGAGAGAGAGAGAGAGAGAGAACAAAGGGCAGTATATAAACATTGAAATAGAAAAAGCTCAATGAGTGTACATCTCAGCATCCTGGGGAAGACCTGTGTGACCAGAAGGCTTGTGTTCCCGCTCCATCCGTGTTGCAGCTGCTCGCTGAAGGCCAGCAAAGACAGAGGAGGAGATGAAGACACACCAACTTCAGCTAAGATGACTGGGTCCCTCTCAGAGCACTAAGGAGTAACCATAGGAAAGTTGGAGGGTCTTCTTATGAAATCCCTATGGTGAGCAGAAATATTGATCTGCACAAGAACCTCATCAATAGGATTTGCCTTAGGAAAGGACAAATTATTTGTCCCGTTACTAGATCTTATTTCACAGTTGGAAGGATTTATTGAAATTTGCAAAAAGGTGAAAGGAAATACCTGCCATGGCTGTAGACTTTGACATCCCAAACTGTCTTTCCCACTCATCCTCGGCACCCGTTTTGACCTTGATGAACATGCAGCATGTAAAGCGTGTGCCACGGCCTGGACATGGAAGTAAGTGCTGTAGCTGTCTTGGGACAGGGATCTCTCCAGCTCCTCCTGGGGCAGAGTCTCCAGCTTCTCCTTCTCGGTGCATTTTGTCCGACCTTTCACAGACAAGGTATGCTTCGAATATAAGCAATAAAATGCTTTTCTCCAAAACCAATAAAGAAGATATGAAGATGGTGCATAGTAATCACGTACGTTCAGTTTTTTGGTCTTCATTACAAAGGAGAAGGAACCATGGATGTTCTCAAAATCCTTTGGAGCTGAGTGCAAATTCATGTTGATGTCCTGAAAATCTGTTGTGATCCAAACTCTTGCCCCAGCTCCTCCCATGATTATATTTTGTAGTGCCATGACTGATGCCCATCCCGTGTAAGTATTCTCATAGTAAAGAAATACATTGACTTGTCTCCATATGATGAATGGCACCTTTGGCATGAGTGATCGATATGGATTGCTTTCTGATAGCCTATGTGTGAAGGCCACACAGATTCCACGGAGGATCATCTGAGATGTCAGGGCACCCACAAATCTTTCTCCATTCTCATTGTCCGAAGCATAGAGGCCAACCCACGTCCATCCAAAATGCAGGAGCAGCTTGATAATCCCCTGGGACTGAGTATCTTCTTTGGGGAGCATCCGGTAGACAAAAGGGAACCGGGATTTATCATCCATAGCCTGAGCATTCAAGCCATAACTGATCTAGTGAAGGAAGGGAGAGATTAGTGATTTGTTTTGGTCTCAGGATGTGGATCTTGACTCCCCTGGATAAAAAGTTTTTATTCTGTCCTTCATACCTGTGGGATTTTGTAGATGCCTGACATAGTCGAAATCTGTTTTGAGATTACAGAATTGGCCCCTTCAAGAACACCTAGCAGGTTATTATTCTCTTTTCCACAGGTATAGTTTGGGATGTTGCTTTCCCCACCCGATAGCAGGTCTAGCATGACATCGGAAGTCATCCTTGCATTGAAAAAGTTCTCATAGAGGTTGTAGCCCAAGGTGATGTTAGGTAAGATCCTGGAGTCTCTGTTGATCTCTTGGATGGTGAACAGGAAGGATAAGATGTGCCAGTAGTGTCTAGCTGACACACTGCAATAAACAGATTAATAAAACAATTTGAAACTGCTCTTCACCATTTAATGAAAAGAACTATGATATGATCACCAAAGAGCAGCCTGTATGTTTGATGTGAGAAGAGACATATCCTTGTTTCAAGGTGAAAATCCATTTCCTGCTTCAGAATTTTCTCTCTCTCTTTCTCTTTCTGTGTGTGTGTGTGTGTGTGTGTGTGTGTGTGTGTGTGTAAAGAAGCATAAGAGACACCAGAATACAGTTACTTACTCATCAAACCTAGTTGATGGGGGCTGAGAAAAGACATATGGAAGTTGATCGAAAAATTGTTTTGGAGAGATGATCCCACTAACGAGGAAGTCTCCAGGCCGGAAGTAATTCTGCGCTCCCTTTTCTTCCCTGATCAGATTCAGGGGGCATTTTGCCTTGTGGTTTCCAAAGACTCCGTGAGGCATCAATAGCAGCAGCAGAAGTAGCAGCAGGGATACCATTCTGGCTGTAGCTCCTGCACCTCTCCTGTGAACTTGTGCAAGGGGAATCCCACGCAAGACCAAAGCTGCAGTGTCATCACCCATGGAGCTAGTGGTCACTGGTGACTTCAGAGCTTTTACAGATCACACATACATCTCCCCCACTTACACCTGCTTTAAATCTTGACTCACTCTGCCTCCCACACAGATATTCTTCCCCCAGGAACGATGCAATGAGTAACCTCATGTTGACCTTGATTCCGATGCCTCGGCAACATCCATAAATCTCTCTTGGGCTTCGGCTATAGAAAATCACCATGATTTCCGTAATTACAGTAGGGAGAAAGCTCATCTCTGTGACATCCTTGAGGTTTGAGGGGAAGGGACAGAGCTGGAGAAAAATATGTTTGTGAGGGATAGCAGATGCAACTCTCCGTCTGACATCAGCCATGTGTTTGTGTGTGAGAGAGAGTTTGGCCTGAACTTTTGTGACAATAGTATTAGAAGAGCCCTACAAATGGGTCAGTCCATACAGCCAGTGGACAAATGGACTGTGGCCATCCAACCTTTTCTTTAAAACCTCAAATGAAGGAGAGTCTGTAGTAGTGAAATACAGAGAATCATACCATATAAGGTTTTGACTTACTGAGCATGCTCAGAAGGATGTGGTTGGTAACTGGAGGTGTAATCTAATCCTGCAATAAAATTCTAGCAGACCATGAGGAAGCTCCTTTGCTTAAACTGGTAGTCAGTACACATGCTTTCCACTGTGGTAACTTTAGAGCAATCACATGGGTTAGTGCCTTATAAGGAAAATGGGGTGAGGGAAACCCAGTATTTGGATTGGATAGAAAATTTAAACTTAATGGAATTTGTGGAATGTGCTATATTGATGTATAAAATGGTATGGGATATGTTAGAACGGGGCCAGAGAATTTGGGAAGAAATCTTTCCTGGTCATTTCTGTACAGAAATAAAATAAAATAAAAGTCAGAATCTTATTTTTCATAACTTGAAAGAGATGCTCCGTGTCATTCCCACACCTGAACAAGAGAGTTCATTCCTGCAAGATGTTGCTTCGACCTCTTTATTAGAGTTCAGTTCTGATAAAGATGATGCCATCTTTAGTGTTTTGTCGTCAGGTGCTTCTTCAGATCAGACCTTAGAATAATAATGTAGCACTTGGGCATGAAGATGTCCAAGTTTGTCATCAGTCAGGTCTTTGAGTTTAGCCTGAACTTTGCAGACAAGAGCGTTAGAAAACCCCTACATGTGGATCAGTCCAAATGACCAATGGAGGCTTGTCCAGTAGCACAACTGGGGCACTGCCACACCAACCTCAGCCTCCCCCACCCGCCACCTGCCTATCTTCTTGCTTACAGCCAGCCTTATTTACAAGGGATGGGGGACGTTATTTAAATGCCCCTTTAAGGATACCGTGTAAATGCAGTCTGACACTGGAAAAATCAAAACTGGAAACAGAACTGTTAGATCCTAAAGTTAAGAATTTGTCAAGAATGTATAACTTGCTGTTGAAATGGAATACTCAAGATGAAACAGTGAAATCTGTTATGATTAAATGGGCACAAGATGTTGGACATAACATTATGATGGCTGACTGGGAACAGTTATGGACCACAGGTATGAAGTTCACGGCATGTAATGCCTTAAGAGAGAATATTATGAAAATGATTTATAGGTGGTACATGACACCAGTCAAGCTTGCAAAAATCTATCATTTGCCCGATAATAAATGTTGGAAATGTAAAGAAACTGAAGGTACATTCTGTCACCTTTGGTGGACGTGCCCAAGGATTAAGGCTTTTTGGGAGATGATTTATAATGAAATGAAAAAGGTATTTAAATATACCTTTCTGAAGAAACCAGAGGCCTTTCTCCTGGGCATGGTTGGCCAATTGGTGTTAAAGAAGGATAGAACTTTCTTTATGTATGCTACAACAGCAGCAAGAATACTTATTGCAAAGTATTGGAAGACACAAGATTTACCCACTCTGGAAGAATGGCAGATAAAGGTGATGGACTATATGGAACTGGCGGAAATGACTGGCAGAATCCGAGACCAGGGAGAAGAGTCGGTGGAAGAAGACTGGAAGAAATTTAAAAACTATTTG